TTACAATTTTTGTGAATATTGCAGAACTTATGCCTATCCAATAAAATGTGTGGACCTGCAAGAGCATAACAATTTTTGTGAATATTGCAGAACTTATGCCTATCCAATAAAATGCACCGTATGATGTTACGCAACTGCATAAAGTTTCGTGACTCTAGCTGCTGGTTTTCTTTTCCAAATAGTCCAACCCTCCGGGAAGATCAGTTCCTGACTTCCAACACCTACCGGTAAATGTAACTAAATGCACTGTGTAACTTGTGGTAACTGAAAGAAGTTCATTATTTTCAACAAGTTTGTGCACCAACATGTCCAATATGTTGCACTGTTTTGTAAAGGTTTTGCTTTTCAAAATCTCGGTGTTGTTTCTTTTTCAGGCTTTATTTCTCTTTCACTGACACTTCATTAAGGTCAACAGTGTCCAAATTAAATGAAAATGTTGCCATCTCTGAGCCAAAAATAAAAAGGTTTCTACTTTAATAAAATACTTGAAGTCATGGCATTCTCACACACATGTACTTTTAGCACTGTACTTGTACATGTAGTTATATGTACAAGTGCAACATTATCTTGAATTGCCAAAATTGGTAAGAGTTTCACATTTTCTAGAAACTTCCTCGCTCGAATTACTTCTCAATCATTCAGTTGTGTAAAAGGGAGACTTCCCAAGGCTGCAAAGGTGATGTTGGACTAACACACACATTGTGAACAGGTAAAAAAAAACTAATAGAAGCAAAAGGAACAGATTGCCAAAGGCATGCCAACAAAATCACACAAAGCCAATGAAGGAGACATAGATTCTGAAACCCTCAGAGTTCCTAAGGTTTTCATTGAAACAATTGCACATTTGTTTAGACTGTAACAGGTGTGTAGATTTTGGGGTCAGAGGAAAGTTACAAACAACATTTAGAAAACCTACCTCTGACAGTGTCAGGAGAGTGTTGCGAGCTCCACGCTCTTTGAAGCTGCAACATGATATAAAGGCAAATTTGAGTTTTTAACTGTTGAATAATTACTGACTTCATCAGAAAAATGTGACATTTCATGAACTACGCATCAATGTTTAGATGAGCCTAGTTGGTTTTTATGAAGGATCAACAATGATTCTGTGTACATGTAAGTTCTACACACAGCTACACAAATTCATTCTGAATGTAAATGAGTGAACTCAATATTTGATAATATTTTTGGTATCAACAGACAGCTGAAATGCAATAACTTTTGTCTGTTAAACTCATCAAAAGGGGGAGTTGGCAGAGCCAGAATTTCACGTACATGTACCGGGTACATGTATACATGTCCAGGATTGGGTTCCTTTACTAAATAGATAAGAAATTTGAAAAATTATCTTCTTGTAATCTGTTCATCATCTTAAAAGAAGTGAAATCATAAATGTAGACAACATGAAGTTATTGTATCCTGACTAAATTCAAGATGTTAACCAGAAAATGACTGATAAAAAGTCTGGCCAGCACAGCATGCAAATTCCAAACAATTTCAAAATGTAATTCTGTGAGTTCCATTTTACAACACAAGTTACATCTAGATGTTTTCTCTTATCTTAGTTTTTGTTTTGTTACGAAACTACAAGTACGTGTACCAGCATATTAAAACTGGCTGCTACAGAATGACTTTGGATTTCTAATGCATACCTGCCAGTGGGAAGAAGGAACTCTTTCTTGAAGAAGAGCTCCATGCCTACCAGGCTGGAGATCTGGGATTTCTGGAAAAGAAAAAGACCAAAAATTCCGAACCTGTCATGTGGTGTGTGGCTCATGACAGACTCACAACGCAGTTCAAGTCACATAATTTCTTGTATCATTGAAAAGTCAAATTACACACACTTGTCCAACAAGGAGAAACCATCAGAAAAAATCACAACACAAGAAAAAAATATGAGGTAAAATAAATCTTAAAAATAAGAATTTTGCACCTATTTCCCTTCTCTGAAATATTTTAAGGTGATACGAATTGACTACTTCTCTCTTTGCAAGCCACTACACATGCAAAGTCTCCATGCTTCTACATGTACATGTAGGTCATTCTATAAATTAAAGGTAGCACTTTGCCAAGTATGAAGCTGTGTTCAAACAGAAGGAACGCTATGCGATTTTTGGTTTATTGCAATTTAAGTTCAAGTTGGTATTTGATATTGCCAGTAGTTCAACAGTTAAGACCTTCTACAGAATTTGCTGTATGGAAACTATCTGTAAGTGACAACAATCAAAATTAAGTTCTTTTTGGCATTTAGCTTAACATTCATTCTGTAAACACCACACATCTGGAATCCTGCAAATTCAAATCTAGGTATTTCTTCATCACATTTTTTCTTCAATGATAGGCGCATGACTACATGCTTTTTGTCCTAAAAATATTAAAACAACAGAGAAGATGAAATTTACCATAACTCATTTTGAACCATACATAAATTCATTTACTGTATCACAAAGTAAAAGCCACAGTGTTTCAAATGTAGTATTTGTGTGTTTATTTTCCACCCAGAAATCATCCCCCCCCCCCTTTCTGGCTTTTCAAATTGGGGCGAGGCTTGTGACATAGACCGAGGCACCAAGATTCATGACAGTCTTGATAGTCTGGACCCGTAAATGATATCTTGGCACAAGACGAACCTCCTAGCGTAAGTACGGCTTCACGACCACACCCCGCATCGCAACGTACTGTGCCATAACTAGACCGGTTGCAAGTCCCTCCATGCAGTATGGTCCATTTGGACTACGGAAAAAAATTAGTGTGTAGCTTTTTTTCAAAAAAACAGCAACCATGTTTGATAGATTCATGATGAAAAAAATAACTCTGTGACCTTTCAGTTTACAAAATAACACCTTCAGAAATGTACCATTGTGGGTCTTTCCTATTTGACCCCTCCAAGAAAAGAAAGACCCTACATGTGGCAGCTGTAACAGGCCCAGTTACCTGGCAAGGTGTCCGGTGGATTCCGCTCTTTATCTTGTAGGCAGCAGCGCTCACATCTTGAAACTTCACAACGATGGGGTTGTCTGGGTCGCAAGTTTCATCCTTCAAGTCTTCTTCTCCCTCCAGGTCATTCATGTCTGAGTTTTCGGCATCCAGCTCCATTTTGATCTGGCCAGCGACGTCTACAGAGTCACCGGGAGACTGAGGAATGAGGTCCTGTATTGGCATCTTATGAAGGATGGTGTCAGCCAATCAGGAGGGACCACAGAACCCAGCGAGAACAAAGCGAGCTGCCGGTGACCTGTCAGAACATGTCAACACCAAGTAAGGAAAACCCCTTCATGGGAACAATACGATTGTTGACTACATGACCAAGCAACCAATGCCTGATGTTATGCCATGTTACGCTCAAGGTTTTATAGAAACATCTCTCCTTAGAGATGCCCCTCCCCTATTTACACTATCACTTACATGTAGGAAACTGTTCTCTGAATTTCGAATGAGCGAGCATTTGGGGGAATTTTCAAGCTTTAAAAATAAACCTTGGAAATTCCGAAGAATTCCCTCAACAAAGTAATGTGTGCTCACACACCTTTACTGCGTTATTTAGAAAATATCACTGTTTGGTTTATGAAAATCCCAAGAATTACTTTAAACATGTTAGAAGCACTGAGTGCCCAGTAATATTCAGAACTGGTAGGAAAAAAATTTCAACCTTAACTGGTTTAGTCTGAAACACACAATTAATTGATTCACTACCATTTGAATCATTACCAATAATTTTTCCAAATCTAAGAATAATATTTTAAGCTTACCTAAACTCGATTTGGCATTGCATAATACTCTTTGGAATTATTTCCTTGAGAAGGTTTTGTGGAATACTTGACAATACTTTAATTTGTGTCTCATGGCACAATACTAAAAAGTGAAAATTGCTGCTCAAAAGTCTTCAGTTCTGATTGGTTAGTTAATTAAGTTTCTTCACCCAATCAATGCATTTAAATTTCCTTGCAGCCTGCAAGTGGGACTGATTGTAGAATTACATGTACAGTATGCCAAATTATCTTAGTATATACATGTACATGAAGACACAGAAGCTTCCGACTGCAGGGATTTCGGTCAAGATAGTTTCATCATACTTAGACCCCAGGTGGAGTAATACTGTACATGTACATGTATATTCTGTTCCATGGCCGGGGAGTATTGAACAACTTTAATTATTGAGAAATAGAAATAGAAGGTAAAAGTGGGAAGAAAATAATCAACCAAGTACTAGTACACTAGTGTTTTCAACTTTTTTTGTGAGCAAAAAGCATTCTTAGAACATGATACTAACATTAACCACTACTTGCCAGGTGGATTTTTCTTGAGCGGGATGAGATGACGGGACCTTTTCGAGATTTTCTGTTTTCAAAATTCTTCAAAACTTCATGTGTTCATTTACTCGAAGTTTACACCCATATGAACAACTGTCTGGTGGCTACTATAATCTGACAGGCGACCTTCAATGACCCCCATGTTTTCAGCCCAGGCCTACATGTAGCTGCAGCCCTGTAAAAGAGAGCCCAGAATTGTGAGGTGTTGTATAATTTCCTTTGTTCCGGTGAATGCCAGTAGCATCTTTTCATGCGCGGCTGGATTAGCGAGCATTAATGCATAATTAACATTATTATTATAACATTAACATACAATGTGCATATACATGTACCGGTATGACCTGGGTCCCCAGAATAGTTTTAGTTACCGTAATTGCAGCATTTCCAGTTGGAAGTCACTGTAAGTGAACATCAATTTCTCCCCCATACAAGTACACGTATAAAGAAATATTGAGTAATAACAGTTTACATGTACATGTAAGTTATCAGTCATGTCTCCTGACAAAGTAACTTGAGCAGTATTATGAAGACATTTGGGTCATGCTATGAATTAGGAGTCCAATATTTTAGTGTCCCTGTCACACTTGACAGATGATTTCATAAGTTCAGAATCTGCTTACACATATTTCCAAGAGTGATTAATTAATACAAATTACCTGCCAAATAGAAAGGGTTTGAAATAAATTTCAGTGATATTTCCTTGTCAAATGACACTTCTCAGGAGTAACAGGGACACAAAATGTCACACTTTGGTATCCCGAATTTATAGAATGACTCATTTTACAAATTAAAGGAACTTTTGGCCTACTGGGTGTAAATGTAGACCTTCAAGGACTCTTACAACAGTCAACATACTGTACGTACCTGCGTGAGTTTTATGCTGATAAGTGAAGGATTTTTCCAAATATATTTTTGTACATGTACATTGTACATGTAGATGTATATTCTAATAGATTCTATTAATAATAATAACCTTGACCTTTGAGCCATGGGTCCAAGGTCAAGAGGCTTCTGGTGGACAGTGACACCAAGACTAAACTCCAGTCACGTTAGAAGTTAGCATATCAAGTCTTTCTGAAGTTGTGGCATGAAACATAACTACGTGTACACGTTTGTACATGTAGTAAACTTCTGGAGAACACTTACACGTACATTAATATTGTACAGTACATTTAGTCTTGGTTCCAAGACCTTCGTGTCCGCGTAGTTTATTCAGCGACACAAATCATCACCAGACGAAGTGCCATTGCCTTCAGCAGACGATACTGGCTGATACGCGTCAAAAGAGGGCGCTGTCACAATGAAGCACATAAATTATGCACCACACACAGTACATACTTTAGTATCTTGGACCCATGGCTAAGGGACACCAAGACCAAGCCACATGTTTGAAGTTGATGCATTAAATCCTTATCAAGTTACGGGGTAAACAGCTTGCACGCATAACACGCACACACACCTAGTATTCGATTATTCTCTATGCATGGAGTTGTGGGAATTATAGACCAATTGAGTGTTGTTTACAAATCACACAGCCAAGTTACATGGAAGATGTCATGCAGTACCTAGCACATCAGTAGTCAGAGTACAGTACCTACATCTACCATCGGCTTTATTTTAGTAAATGATACTTATGAAACATTTTGCTTTTGGTGGAGGCCATATTTGTTGATATTTAATACCCACCATGGTCATGTGACTCAGCAGGTACAATCGGTCTCTTGGGACAAACCTTTGCCACTACAACTACGTAGACCTACGGTACATATATGAACATGTACATGTATATTACAATATAGTAATAAAAGCCATGGAGCCAACCACAGTACTTTTTGTCATGCTTGCTTTTACACTTTAAAAATGCACAGCAGGTACGTGTAACTCCAAATAATCATGTTCTGCTTGTAATGTTTTCTGAACAAGAACGGTGTGAACCACTTTGTGCATGAACATTGTACCTGTACACCCCCCCCGTGAGTGTCAACAATTACATTGAAAGCCATCAGACCATGCAGGCCTTATATGAGTTGTCTCCAAGAACAACACAAACACCAGCAGAACGATGCGGTCCCCCCCTGTACATGTACCAGTGTCTGTGGGAGAGGATAGTTGTGTGTGTGCAATGGTGTTTGTCAGTGGTGTTTGTGGAAGTAAAAGAAAAGAGAAAAGAGGCCAAAGCAAAAAAAACAAAGCAATCAAATGATTTCTCTGCCATAAACGAACCCGAACCAATAGAAAATACATGTATATCACCAACATACCGTAGAAATTTGGACTTCAAGACTTACATATTTGTAAGTCTTGAAAACGTCAAGGCTACACATTCAAGTGCACACTACATAAAAATTACATGTACCTAGTTTTGAGGATGTGCTTGAATTTTTCTGCAAAGTTTAGGATGTACATATATGTAAGAATATTCATCACTGGTAACCATGGCAGCAGCATTTGGGATTAGGGCTTGGCTAGAGACAGCATACTGGCACATGGTGTATTGGCTCAAAATTCATAGGCTTTATTTCATAACAATGCAAAACTTGTTTCTCCTTCTAAACACATTAGGCAATACAGGGTGTATTTCCTGAAATATTCTTTGTGCTGATACGGTACCAGTGCATGTACAGTACATCACATGATTCCGTGCAATAACTCTAATGTTTTACAATGTACATACATGTACATACGCAGTAAATGGAAGACACCCATCCTTCACTCAATGATTACAATGTGCAAGAATGTTACACATTACCAGAACATTTCATGACCGTATCAGTAATTGTACAAATACAGTGTATGTACATTTAGGTTAATTACGTACTGTATGTTACCTACTGGTAGCAAGAACACAGGGAATCCAAATTAAAAGTGCAGATGAGAACAAATCAACACAACATACACACATTTCTGAAACTCACAAAGCTTCATAATGAGCAATTTTGGCAGGCCAAGTGTACATGTACATGTACATGTACATAGTATGCATCATGTCATCTGTGATTAATTTGCACGTAAGATGGTAAAGAAAAATACAAAAATAAAGAGCAAGTTTGAATTGAGTGTTCTGAGAGTAGAAAATATGGTCTGTGTATAAGGCTTACAGCTAGCAGCTACCATCATAGTGAGTACAGATGGACAGCTCTGGCATTGCATTCATACACTGTACTTGTAGTGGTACATTACACACTTGCATGTGGTATTGTACATGTACATGTAGGTCTCTGTACCTCTTGAATGCCCAGTAACGGGTCAAGGCCAGCATCATCAAAATATAATAACTACAATTAACACTGGTGACTTGTGGCACTCCAAGCCATGTGCGTGTACTGTACATGTACCTGTAAAATTCTTTGAGGGATGGATTTGCGACAAATCTCTTGGGGAATTGAGGCAAGGAATCTCTGTGGGAGTCAAGAATTTCATTTGTATTCAATGCGCACATGTAGCTCAAGAGGGCAGGTTCCTTAAATGCAATACCTTTATGAGGATGCTTCTTTTTTATATTTTTGGCTCCTGACTACAGAATGGCAACTGCCTGTGGTACAGAAGGTTGTGCATTGGGTTCAGTTGACTTCCTTCCTCCATGGTTGAACAGGCAAACCCAACTCAAAACATAGCCAAGTACAACATAAACCAAACCTGACCAAATGCCTATTTCAGCTCCCAAAATCCAGACAAACATGAAGAAAACCTAACATGACTGGACCTGAAACCGAACTGGAAACAAACAAGTCACAGAAATATCTGGCCGCCCAGACACACAATAAATATTTCCACTTTTTGTGCCAGAACTTATCCTTGTTGCAAGAAATCTTTTGGATAAATCATCACAATAACTCCAAACAGCAGATGTTGCGTAAGTTATCATACATGTTGTAAATGTACATGAGTGAGCTTGTCTTTATTCTTATGCTGTGTGTTTTTATCA